GGTATTCAAGTTGTTATGGGAAGAAACATTTGGGATGCCTTTGATCAACATGAGGGGTTTGCGGTTTTGAAAAGAATGATGGTTCGCAATGGTTTGGATTGTATGGACTTCTAGGAATGATAAGTTGTTCAATAGTAAGGTGGTCGACATTAACAGAATGCTTGATTTGGTACAAATTAGATCTTTCCTGTGGTTGTCCAATAAAGGGATGGTACTTAGGATGTCTTTTTCTGATTGGATACTAAATCCATGACTTTACTCTTAACCAGTAGGAATGGAATGGGTGCTTTTTGGTGCTTGTGATACTCTTTCTTTGTAGTGTTACTGGTCTAGTACTCCTGTACTCAGTAATAAATTTTGGCTCTTCAAAAACACAGGTGTAATGAAAGGCAACAAAGGATGGATGGTGATTTGGTTCGCAACAATATGGACGATTTAGAAAGGAATGATGCAGTTTTTACCAGTAATCAGATAATTTAGTACAGAGAGTGCCCTGGAGCTGCAGGTACAAAGCAGTTCGACCTTACACGTGGATTAGTGAGAAAAAAGAAGGGCGGACTTGTTTGTTTTGGGAATGTTGCCAGAATCCTAGCAGGTGCATAATACCCAGAAGTGGAGTGCATAGATAATTCTAATGGAAAAGTTCTGCAATTTATTAATGTGCAACGCAAAGGTGCAAATAAGAATTGTAATTTTGTATTTTTTATTTAAAAATATTAATTTATTAGTTAGTAAATAAAAATGTCAATTTTTATATTTTTTATTTAAAGAAATTTAGTTTCATTTTTTTATTTAAAAATGTAAAATTTTAATTTTTTCTATTTAAAAATATTAACATTATATAAAAAATTTGTTTGTTATGTTAATATCACTATCAAATTAACTTTTAAATAAAAAATAAAAAATAAACATTTTTAAATAAAAAATAAAAAAATTAATATTTTTATTTAAAAACTAATAAATTTAATATTTTTAAATAAAAAAATAAAATCAAAATCTTTATTTGCATCTCCCCTTGCAAGATATAAGATGACTTTTGCTGGTGTTG